ACACACACACACACACACACACACACACACACACACACACACCTGTCAGCTGTGCTGTGAATGAGGTCTGACTGATGCTGATTACATCTGGCTGTCATCATGCATTTATGCCAATTTACATTCAGAGTTGTCAGAGATGAGCCCTGCGGTGAGGGAGTACAGCACAGACAATAAATACAACATCCCTAAACAAACTACTGCTTAAAAATATATTTTAAAAAGTGAAATGCAAAATTGCAAAATGTTTAAAAAAATAGTGAAAAATTGCAAACTATTTTTAAAGTCTCTGAGTTAACCACATATGTTCCAAGAACACTTGCCATTATGTTATGTAAATGTTTTGTGAATGTTTTCTAAATGTCCTTTTTTAAAGTTTTAAAAACGTTTCTTCTTTGTTATACAAATGTTAAGCCAACATTCCATTTTATAATTTTCCCTGAACATTCCAAAACAAGTAACATTTAAAAAAAAATGTTACACAAATGTCCAACTAAAATATTTTAGAGGAAAGATGTTCTATGAAACAATGTATAAATAACGTTTTTGTGCTAACGTTTTCAGAACATTATTAAAGGCCAGATAACTTTAAATTAATATTCTATTATTTATATTACATTCTGTTATTTGTATTCAGGTAAAGTATATTTTAACCTACATTTTGATTACTCTTCATTCAACTTTAAATAAAATACAATTCATGTTGTTTGACATTTGGAAAAAAAAAAAAAAACGTTTAACTCAAATACTTCAATCAAACTCTATTCAAATACAGATTAAATCTCTTTTTTTATTTCAAATCATCAAATACCAGATCAGGGGACCAAAACCTTAAACATGAGTGAAATATTTTGAAAATCAAACACAACAGTTTACTTTTTATTAATGAAACCAGACATATTAATACGAAATGAGAACTATATACAGATGGAATATGATTTGAATGAGAAATGTCCTCTACATGCTGCTGTAATAATTCACAAACAATATCGATAACTTACAAAAAACACCCTTGACCTTATTTTTCAAAAGACAAGAATAAGAAACAAGATCTGTAGATCAGATCAGACGTGTTTTATACAATAAAACAGCAGATGAAGTGTATGAAGTCAGTGTTGGGCTCTCAGATGAGGCAGTTCATGCATTTGACGGCTTTGCTGCCGTAGTCCAGACATTCAGGGCCGATGCACTCACAGCAGGCGTTATGAAACCAGCGGTACTTTGATCCACCCATCGACTCGCAGTACTGCTTACACTGACGGATGGACACGCAGTCATCAAAGTAGACCACCGTACACAAGCCATCTGAGGAATGAGAGCAGAGGAAGAGCACGTGTCAACCAGAGACAGAAGAGGAGAGAAGAGAGGAGAGGAGAGGAGAGGATAGGAGAGGAGAGGAGATGATGAGAGGAGAGGAGGAGATGATGAGAGGAGAGGAGAGAAGGAGAGGAGAGGAGGAGATGATGAGAGGAGAGGAGAGGAGAGGAGGAGAGGAGAGGAGGAGATGATGAGAGGAGAGGAGAGGAGAGGAGGAGAGGAGGAGATGATGAGAGGAGAGGAGAGGAGAAGAGAGGAGAGGACAGGAGAGGACGAGGGGAGAGGAGAGAAGGAGAGGAGGAGATGATGAGAGGAGAGGAGAGGAGAAGAGAGGAGAGGACAGGAGAGGACGAGGGGAGAGGAGAGAAGGAGAGGAGGAGATGATGAGAGAGAGCGACGGGATTGGGCGGTACAGCTCCTCGACAGTGCTCTTGGAGGTGGCAGGACTGTCGTTGTAATTCCTGGGGTTACACATTCCTGTGGGACAGAAAAAACGAAGAACTTCACCACGGTGCACACATCATGATGGAAAAGCAACACAAAAAAAAAGCAAACATGATCACAAATGAAGAATTTTAAGACTGCTTGGCTGCTATACATGTACTAACAGCAATAAATAATGCAGATTGTTTTGCATTTTTTAATTATTTTTTCTTTTTCTTTTTTTGGATACATATTGTGACAATTTTGTACACTTTTATAGTAAATGCAAATGTTTACACAATTTTATATTCATATTTGATGAAATGTTGTGACAATTTTATACTTTTTTAAATATTTACATGTAAATGTTTACATTATATTTATATTATTTTATTAATAATATTAATTTATTTTACTTATCATATTTAAACGTTGATCACTATTAAAGGAATAGTTCACCCAAAAATAATAATTTTGTCATCATTTATTCACCCCCAATGTCATTACAAACTGTTTTAAACAAAACAAAATGAATAAATAAATAAAATAAATGAAAAATATTCAAGCTTCTTTTTTTACATAGACCAAAGGAGGTTCAATAATGGTTTGTTTTTCACACAACATATTTTTTATTTAATATATTTATTTAATATATTTTAATTTAATTTAAGTTTGAACATGATATAAAAAATGAAAGTGCTTATTATAAGAACTGATTTTTTGGATTATTAAGATTTGAGTAAAGACAAAAATAAAATAAAATAAAATACAATTTATTTATTAGGATTACTAAGATTTAAGCAAGGACAATTCTAAAATAAAAAAATGTAAATGATAAAAAAATAAAACATTTTATGTGCATTTCTATTTTTAGTGAACTTTTATTTATTTATTTTTAAGTAAATACTGTGACATATTTAAAGACAATAAAACATGACTGTCAACAGCAGCTCCACTTGGAGAGATAAACTGCTGGTAAGGAAGGTAATCAGATGGTGGATGAAGGTTTTAATAAGGAGCAGAACGCTGTAGAGACCTTGTGTTTCAGATTATCTGCGGAGCGGCTGCCAGCACAGCTGCTTCTGATTACCAAAACCATGGCAGGTTCGGCCCTCAGGAACAACACACATCCCAGTTCCAGTGTTTGGAACAGAACGATCTCTACAATCTGATATGTCCTTGTTGTGAGAAACGGATGCATCATGCATCGTGTTCATTTTTAGACTGTCTTAGTTATGATGCATCTTTCTCATCTTGTCATAAAACCCTCGGTCAATTAAAAGTTTGATCAGTAGCTTTGTTGATTAGATTATTACTGCTCATGCATTATTATGATCTGTGTGGTTTTGCAATGATTGAAGAGGATACCAATCGAATATAGAGAATGAAAACTTGCTTTTCTAACCCTCTTTGCATCATAAACTACTAATTTTTGTATTGAGGAATGATATGGTTTAAACTTTTGTACTCTGATCGGCTGTACCTTCAAACCTCATCTGAACTGACCTGGAGTCTGTGTTTGAAGCTGAGAGTATCTGGATCAGCTCACCTCACACTTTATGCTGCTGTCAGAGGAGTGTACACCAGGCCTCCTGTCATCTACAAACCAGTCCTAATATTTACAAGAGCTCTCACTGGACTGGGAATGAGCCAAACCTGTTAACACAACCTGAGCTCTTCAGTTCATAGTCTTGGTGCGACCCTTAATAATCCTGATAAGCATTTCTTATAATAACTTCACACATCCCAGTTCCAGTGTTTGGAACAAAACGATCTCTACAATCTGATATGTCCTTGTTGTGAGAAACGGATGCATCATGCATCGTGTTCATTTTTAGACTGTCTTAGGTATGATGCATCTTTCTCATCTTGTCATAAAACCCTCGGTCAATTAAAAGTTTGATCAGTAGCTTTGTTGATTAGATTATTACTGCTCATGCATTATTATGATCTGTGTGGTTTTGCAATGATTGAAGAGGATACCAATCGAATATAGAGAATGAAAACTTGCTTTTCTAACCCTCTTTGCATCATAAACTACTAATTTTTGTATTGAGGAATGATATGGTTTAAACTTTTGTACTCTGATCGGCTGTACCTTCAAACCTCATCTGAACTGACCTGGAGTCTGTGTTTGAAGCTGAGAGTATCTGGATCAGCTCACCTCACACTTTATGCTGCTGTCAGAGGAGTGTACACCAGGCCTCCTGTCATCTACAAACCAGTCCTAATATTTACAAGAGCTCTCACTGGACTGGGAATGAGCCAAACCTGTTAACACAACCTGAGCTCTTCAGTTCATAGTCTTGGTGCGACCCTTAATAATCCTGATAAGCATTTCTTATAATAACTTCACTTCATTTTATTTTGTTTCATTTATTTTATTTTATATTATTATTTTATTTTGTTATTCTATCATTTTATTTTATTTCAGTCATTGTACATAAACCAGATGTGTAAAATATATTTGTTTATTTATGATTTGATACGCATTATGGGACTATTTATTTTAGCATTTACATTTAGGTGTATAAAATAAAATTAAATAAACATATAATGTATTGTTATGGAATATGTATACAACAAAACATTTTAACAAGTTTTAAGAGCCAAGACTATAATCTACACATTTTTTTTATTTAATAATAAATTATTTAAAACAAACACCTCCATAATGTATTTTATGCATATATAAATGTAAAAATTTTATTTAGTTTTTTATTGATTAAAATAAACCAATTACTCCAAAATAATAAAATAAAATAAATATACAACATAATGTATTATTATGGAATATGTATACATCAAAACATTTTAAGACTATAAGTTTTAAGTGTCATTACTATAAACTACAAATATTTTATTTTATTTTATTTTATAATTTAATGTTTCATAATGTAGTTTTTTGCATATATAAATGTATAATTTTAATTTAATTTTTGATTGATTAAAATAAATCAATTAATCAAAAATAACTAAAAAATAATAAAATATAAAACAAAACTAAACATAAAATCATAGTTATTGTTCATTTCAATCTCACCGACACAGTCGCAGCACTCCTCCCACAGAGAGCTCAAACACAGCATGCACTCCTTACAACACGAACAGTTTCCCTCCGACATTAGGCAAACATACAGGGGGGAAAATGAGATGATGTGGAGGAAGTCTAGCTCACATAAACATGCTCTCCAAACACATGTGCTAGAGAGCCGTGAGTCTTGAAGGAAACATCGAGATCTTTCAGCTGCAAGAGTTAAAAGGAAACCACCCAAAGAGACAAAGAACATTTAAACATGAGAAAAAGCACCAGGCTGAGAAGAAACAGAGCTGCGAACTGTTCCACGCTGGAAAAAACGTCCAACGCCCCAGCGGAGAGGGGAAAAAGACTGACCCAAACCTGGGACACATTTAGAGTTATAATTACAGAGAAAACAGCAGAACACAGACACACATTTGGCTCTCTGCGTTTCGTGTTTTGCCAGCATTTGTGAGGAAGAGGTCAATTTCCAGATGTGTGTGTGTGTGTGTGTGTGTCATTAAAACTGAAAGTTCTAAAGAGTTACAATAGAAACACATAAAAGCGACTACAGAAAAGCCAATACCTGAAAACACAAGTGGGCCAGATACTTCCAAAAGAAACAAGCCCAGACAATTCCCCATCCCTGTCCAGTTCTCTTTAGTTTGGGGAATTGCGTGTGCCATTTTCATGCATTCCTTAAAAGAATCATCGAGCCAAACTACATAAAAGCCATAAAAGCTCAGTTTACTTTAGGTCAAGACACTGAAGCACAACCTGTCCAAACACAGCCTCACAGACTCCTGCTGTACCTGCAAACAATCCACGGGGTCATCTGAAAAAGAGATGATTCAGCCCAGCAGTGAGATGAAGCTTCACTGCGAATATAATGTCTGATAGTGCATGCAAAATTAAAAAAATTAAATGGTTATTTATGATCCAACTGATATCAGTTCTAACAATTAATTTATTACATTTCTAGTCACTTAATAAATACAATTACTACATTCTTGGTGAAATATACACATTTTTTAAAATAATGTTCTTAATAGTTGATATAAATTTCATAATATTATACACACACAAATGCATAAGATATTAGTAAAATTATTATTGTTTAATATAATTTTATTGAATAATATTATGTTTTTCCTGGTCTTTTTGTAAATGATTTCAGTGAATGCTATTGTTATTATAAAAAAATAATTATTATTCAAAGCATTTGTTAACATATTCTTTCATCTAAATGCTCAACCTCAGTTTTTCTGTTCAGTTTTTAAAAATTATTTTTTCTTTTTATATAATTTATTTTTTACAGATTTACCTGTAAATATGACACATTACAGAAGAAAAGGTTTAATGATGATCCAACTGATATCAGTTCTCACAGTTAATTTAATTGCAAGTAAGTAAATAAATAAAAATGTATTGTAATCTTTACTCTAAATTTTCCATCTAAATTTATTTTCCTGTTTGGATGGAAAATATTGGCTTTAATTGTTGTTTTTTTCAATGCAATTTTTTTTTAAACCGTTTTACTCTGAAATATGACACAAAACAGAATTAAAATGCTTCATGCTGGCTTATTTTGAGCTCATTTAATGCCTCAGTGATGTTAATGTACAGTGTTTGTCATGACAATAAAGCACACTAAACTGAAACTAAGAGAGAACATTCCTCTAAATGAAGGCCAGTTATGGGGTCTGGAAGGGGGCCGTGAACACCTGGCGGTTCCTGTGTGCCCTCACTTCCTCTTCAGAGCTCAACCTGTCACACTGATGCTGACATTCACTTTCATTCACTGTTCTTTTAGTGTACTTTTGGATGAAATCAGCATGACCCTAACTAACTGTTATTTTGCTATGAGCTGCGAGTGAGACAGCAGAACAGAGAGCAGGAGAAAGTGTGTGTGTGTGTGCTGCAAGAGTGTGAAAGTGCTCTGAGCAGACGAACGTGTGCTGCCTTGCCCCACAAAGCATTCATGTGTGACTAAAACAACCTCAGCTGCCCCACCTAGAGACACACGACTGACAGCCACAGCTTTCAGTAACTACACACACACACACACACACACACACACACACACACACACGCACGAACGCACACACACACACACACACACTCATGAACACACATTCACGAACACGCACACTCACACAAACACACACACTCACACACACTCACACACACACACACACGCACACACACTCACGCGCACGCGCACACACACTCTCTCACACACGCACACGCACGCACGCACACGCACGCACGAACGCACACACACACACACACACACACACGAACGCACACACACACACACAAATATTCACAGGAACTTTCAACAGATTTCAAACCACCTACAGTAGAAACATGCATAACAACCAACTAACCACCTAGCAACACCATAGCAATGTTCCAAAACACACCAGAAACCATACTGGCAATGTCCTGGCAACTTGGGTTGGGTGATAAATCGATATTGAAATAAATCTATCATATCAATAATAAACTTTTGAGTAATTTTCTACATTTATCCTCTAGATGATCAGGCACATGTAATTATGACAAATGCATTGATATTTTATAGTGAAATGTACTTCTAAAACTAAAAATAATACAGTTTATTAAAACATAACATTGATTTTTTTTTAAGTAATATCATACAACCAAGATTCATCAAGTTTCATCCATGTTTTAACTTATACAGAACCTTATTTGACCCAAAAATTTAAATGTATTTGTTGTAAATGAATTGTTATATTTTTATTTATTTACATTTTAATATTGATTAAATTGTTTGATTAAAAGTTTCATGTTTTCATTTCATTAGATTTTTGATATAGAAGAAAAATGAAATGAAAATGCAAAATTTGGCCCTGTGTAGAGTATTATTTGAAAACATTCAGTTATTTTAGTTTTATTTGTATAATATTATAGTATTTATTAATATTAGATCATTAATTAATATTAGATTATGAATTAATAATAATAGTATTTATTAATATAAAATTAGCTTTTATATTTATATTTTAAATGTTTATATTAATTTTAGCAATCTTAATTTAGTGCTTTCATAATTAAATATTTCCATTTAGCTTTCATTTAATTTGATTTAATTTTAATCACTTTAATAATATAATAATAACATTTGTCAAATTTTTATTAATTCGTTTTTCATCTAATATTTATATTATATTTTATTTCAGCTTTATTTCAGTTAACAAATTAGTTTTACTTAACAATAACTTGAGGTCTATCAAACATGTGGAAGGATTTTCTCCCCCATTAATGGTATGACATGAATACTGAAATAAAAACTGATATTGAATGACATGAAAAAAATAAAAGTGATAATATTTTTCACTATATCAGCCAGCTCTACTAGCAACCTTCAGAACATCCTAGAAATGACCTAGCAACCACCCAAAACACTGTAGCAACGCCCTGGCAACCACTCAGAACATACTAGAAATGACCTAGCAACCACCCAAAACACTGTAGCAACGCCCTGGCAACCACTCAGAACATACTAGAAATGACCTAGCAACCACCCAAAACACTGTAGCAACGCCCTGGCAACCACTCAGAACATACTAGAAATGACCTAGCAACCACCCAAAACACTGTAGCAACGCCCTGGCAACCACTCAGAACATACTAGAAATGACCTAGCAACCACCCAAAACACTGTAGCAACGCCCTGGCAACCACTCAGAACATACTAGAAATGACCTAGCAACCACCCAAAACACTGTAGCAACGCCCTGGCAACCACTCAGAACATACTAGAAATGACCTAGCAACCACCCAAAACACTGTAGCAACGCCCTGGCAACCACTCAGAACATACTAGAAATGACCTAGCAACCACCCAAAACACTGTAGCAACGCCCTGGCAACCACTCAGAACATACTAGAAATGACCTAGCAACCACCCAAAACACTGTAGCAACGCCCTGGCAACCACTCAGAACATACTAGAAATGACCTACCAACTAGGGCTGCACGATATATCGAAAAATTATCGTTATCGCGATAATAGTATATGCGATATCCGTATCGCAGAGAGTTGCGATAAATTAAATTTATTTTATGTGCTAAGGATTTGTGTGTTACATGCATAGGTTGTCCAAATTTGACCAATCAGATGGGGCCTTACTATCTTTATACCCGCCTCCCAAGTAGGTGCTATAATGCTATTGGATAGACCAGGCCCAAAGGTGAACCTAGTGGCTCAGAGCAGAGACTGGAAAATAAATATGGCAGGAGTAGAGACAAGCGAGGAAAATGACAGTGAACTTAATAATTGGGTCAGACTACAATGCTTTGGTCACCGCTTGCATCTGGCCATCGGTGAGTGTTGAATGTTTATATTTGCAATAATAAAATTAAAACTGAAAAAAGGTACAGTTGTTTGTATAGTTGCATGTAGTATAGACATGATTTTGGATATTGTAATATTTAAGATAATGTGTTTATTTAGGAAATATAATCCACAGAGGCTAGCAAATTTTAACTGACAGTTTTCTATCTCAAATGCTGTTATATAAAATTGTAATTATAATATTGTAATGTTATTTCACCCTGTATGTCCTTGTTTTGTTTTTTCTTAACTCTACAGAAAAGGCTGTTAAAGATGATGAGCGCATTACTCGAGCTGTTGGTCTCTGCAAAAAGTTAGTGGGACATTTCTCCCACACCTGGAAGGGGAAGATGGCCCTGAAAAAATGCACAAAAAGAGCACAACCTCCCGGAGCACTCCCTCATCACAGAATGCCCTACAAGGTGGGGTTCAAGGCAGAAAATGATTCAGAGAGTTCTAGAGCAGCAGCGGGCCATAAGCGACGTCCTGTCAGCAGACAGAAAGTCAAGGCATTTAGTTCCTTCTTGGCAGGACCTAGATGTACTTGAGTCCATAAACCAGGCATTGCAGCCTCTGCAAGAATTTACAGATGCTCTGTCGGGTGAAAGTTATGTAAGTGTTTCATATGGGAAACCTGTACTTCACTTGATGAACACCTCAATTCTTGCTGCAAAGGAAGAAGACAGTGATTTAACAAAGTCCATAAAGATGAAGACTCTAGAGTACATGAACACTAAGTATGACAACCCAGCAACTCAAGAACTTCTGGACATGACCTGCTTTATGGACCCCAGATTCAAAGCCGACTACATCAGCTCTGACAAGGTGTCAGACATCAGAGCCAGGGTGATGTCTGAAATTGAAGCAACTGTGCCAAAGGTAAATGTTAATATGACAATAGTAAGTGACAAAATAATGCACTATAACTAGATTTGATTACAATATTTACTTTATTTCTCTATTTTAGGCGCAAAGCCTGAGTGATCAAGATCATCAGGGCATGGGTCCATCAGCTGTCACCCTAAAGAAGGCCAACAAATCCCTGGGCAGTTTCTTCAAGACATCCCCAGCTCTGTCATCTATGGAACCATAACACACTGTAGAAGCTGAATTGAGCAGCTACATGATGTCTCCCACCATAGACAGTGAGATGGACCCTCTCACTTGGTGGCAAGTCCATCAGGTCAACTTCCCACACCTGAGAAAACTAGCCAGGAAGTATCTCTGTATACCAGCAAGTAGTTCACCTTCAGAGAGACTTTTTAGTACATCAGGAAATGTTGTGACGTGCCAACGCACATGTTTAAAACCTACCAAAGTCAAAATGCTAGTTTTCCTGGCAAAAAACCTGGAATAAAATAGCTTTCATATGGCACTGCATTGTGCTAAAACATAGGTTTGCATGTTATTACTCAATGTTTACATGTTAATAATGTTTACATGTTAATACTTAATTATTTTATTTATGTGGATGTTGACAAGATGTTAGTATTTCCACTACATACCAATTTATTTAAGGCCTGTACACTTTGTTTAATAGTGTTTTTTTATTTAATTTTTGTTTAATAATATTTATTTTTATTTAAAAGAAAACAGGCAAGGCAAGGAAATATTTTGTTTAAAAGATGCTCTTGTTTTAGGATGCTCTTGATGATTGTATGGTTGCATGTGAATAAAAAGTAATGTTTGAGAGTAATGCATTTTTTGTGTTTGCAGGTCTATGGTAACAGCAAACCAGAAATCAGAATATCTGCCGAGGTTTTCAGTCATTCGTAGTGTTTTAAAGTCTAAATGTTTGCACCTTCCTTGACATAGTTTTTTTTTTAGCCTGAATTAGATTTAATTAGATCAGAAAATATCTATTACCTGTTTATTTTAGTATGATCATTACATATATAAATGATTAAAAAAAAGCTAATAAAAATAGCATTTCTCTAGGGAAATGTTATATCGCAAGAAATATCGTTATCGCAATATTCAACAACAATATCGCATATCTTCTCAATATCGTGCAGCCCTACTAGCAACCACCCAAAACACTGTAGCAACGCCCTGGCAACCACTCAGAACATACTAGAAATGACCTAGCAACCACCCAAAACACTGTAGCAACGCCCTGGCAACCACTCAGAACATACTAGAAATGACCTAGCAACCACCCAAAACACTGTAGCAACGCCCTGGCAACCACTCAGAACATACTAGAAACTCCCTAACAAACCAAACGCACAGCATCCTATGGTCTTCAGAAAATGAAAATCGATGTTTTGATGCTTTCAGCAGGTTTTCCTCATCTGCTCTGGTTTGTCTCTCATCGGTGCGTGTGCCGAGCTGTTTACTCGTGTAACGTCATGAACCTCTGTGTTTACTCCCCAGACAGACGCGTCACGTCCCCCGACTGTCTGTCTCTGTCTCCCTTCCTCTCCCAGTCTCACCGGGACACACAGACCAGAGTAAACACACACAGATCCAATCACAGCAGAGAGAGAGAGAGAAATTAAAACCAAACAAAGAAAGAAAGAAAACAGAAATTATTTAGGAAAGCAGAATTTAAAAATAAAATAAAATCAATAAAAGGACCTTCCCAAGTATACTTTTGTATAGGCAGACAAATTTAAAATAAAAAATCAACACTGAGCCAAATGCACAACAGAAAGAGCAACCTTCCCAAGTATACTTTTGTATAGGCAGACATCTAAATTTAAAATAAAAAATCAACACTGAGCCAAATGCACAACAGAAAGAGCCACAAAAATAACATGAAACACACACACACACACACACACACACACACACACACACAGCGTAGAGCCGTCGTTACGCTCCAGGGAAAAAGTGATCCAGTATTACATGAGTTGCACCCAGCTGCTCTCAAACACAGCGCTTCTGCGGTGGAGAGCACAACAGACAGAAGAACATCACAACATCACAGAAAAAGCTTCTGACTGGAGCTTCAGCACAATATTATGATGTTCTGCTCTCAGGAACCTGAAAAAATGTGTGTGTTCTGATTCCATGAGGGAAAGCGATGCATCGTTCTCCTGTTTCACTCAGGAATGTTTCATTCCGGGAATGTTTTCAAACATTTTTCAGTATTCCACACGTCCAACTTGAGCTACCAAAGAGGAATTTTGCAGAAAAAAAAGAAGTCCTAACTCTAAAACAATGAATCTTTGTTAATGATGATTAGATTTGCTTCTAGTGTAAATATAAACGTATCAGAGCATGAGACACCTGCTGGAGCTCCTACACCTTCTGACCAGTCGCTTTACATTACTTTTCGAGGCATTCATCATTATTAAATACTGACTTTTAGGAATAATCATGATTTACAGATTTTATACTCTCAAAACAATTCATATCTGTTGAAATATTTTAGAGCAGAGCTAACATTAACACATAACACAGACATTTTCCATGACTTTTCAAATTCCCTGATATTTTCCATGACTTGTGGAATTCAGCATGAATGTCTATTATTAAAAGGTTGATGAAGATGAAAATTGCAATTAAAATAAAAATTCGAGAGGAGAGGAAACATTGGGAACTGACCCGGCATGATAAATAAGCATCAGTTGTACCTGTAGAAGACATTTGCTGACGTCGCTGGCACACAGAGCTTTGTTACAGCCGCTGATGAGGGTCAGTCCAGACAGAAGGAATAACAGAGAGATCAGGACGGGACAGAGGAACAGAGCCGGCCGCATCCTGACCCAAACTCCACACACCTGCGTTCAACACAGACCAACTATTAACAGATCAGACCATGTGCACTGAAATGTATAGAAGTATATATATATCTATATCTATATATACACACTAATAAAACAGGGTATTTTAATACTTTTTGTATTTTCCTTTACTTTTACTTTACTTTTAGTCATTTAGCAAACGCTTTTATCCAAAGCGACTTACAAATAAGAAAAAGTAATTAAAACTAAAAGCTAAAACTCTAAAAACACTATATATATACACATTTAAGAAAATAAAAGAAATTAAATAAAAATGACAAATGCATACAACATTTCGAAACTAAACATTTAAATGAAAACAAAAAAATAAAGCTAAAAACAATTCAAAATATTAAAAGAACAAAAGGTATGAGTATTTAATGAGTAAAGGTTTTTTGCACATAAAAAAAATTCTTTAAGCAAACTTAGAAAATATAAAGTTATGTCACATTCAGGCAAATTAAATATAGATTTGGACTTAATAAAATTTATTTCATAAATAAAAATGACTAAAAAAATAGACTACAAAAAGACTACATTCTTGTTTAAGTGTACACGATGGAATTCATGAGAATTAATTTGTATTTTTATTTTTGTTATTTTAGTGTGTGTGTGTGTGTGTGTTAAAAACAGGATTTAGCACTTTTATGCATAACATGCACAATTTCCTAGTTTTGTTTTTGTTTTCTAAAGCAAACTTAGACAATATAATCCAGCTACGTCACATTCAGGCAAATTAAATACAGATTTGGACTTAATAAAATGTATTTAATAAATAAAAATGACAACAACAAAAAAAGACTACATTCTTGTTTAAGTGTACACAATAGAATTCATGAGAATTATTTTTTTATTTTTTTATTTAAGTGTGTGTGTGTGTGTGTGTGTGTGTGCGTGTGTGTTAAAAACAGGATTTAGCACTTTTATGCATAACATGCACAATTTCCTAGTTTTGTTTTTGTTTTCTAAAGCAAACGTAGACAATATAATCCAGCTACGTCACATTCAGGCAAATTAAATACAGATTTGGAATGCAGAACACTGAGGAACTTTTCCGTGGCACGTGCAACGTTCTCTCCTCACGTGAAATACACAAAAACCAAGAAAAGCTCTGCATAAGCGCCACAAACACGCACTGACGTCCAAAAGCGCGGGTGTTTCTGTTACCGCAAACATGACGCAAAAACACTGAGGATTATCACGTCACAGATCTGGCATACGTCACATCTTTACATGTATTTGGCAAATAATATAAGCGTACTTACTGTATCACTTTGAAGCGTTCTCAACACTTTCCTTTGGTTTTTGACTTTCTCTCATGCGGATCTCTTGTCTTGGCTCTTTTTACTCTGAATATGAGCGGCTTTGATTCATGGAAATGGACGAAGTGAGTAGAGCGGCAATTAGCATAACATACGTTCCTCAAAGGGGCGTGGCTTATTGGCCCGGATGTTGTTTCTGATTAGTCGGAAACCACGGGGCTACACAAATAAATATTGTTTTAACTCTTCGCTATGCATTTTATGTCTTTTAAAGTCTCCTTGTGTTATTATTAGGCGTCAATTATTGTTCAGAGCGCTGCTAAAACAGGAAGAAGCGCACAAACGAAGTCACATAATCACCATTACTTTTCACAGCACTGCTGGGTTTCAGCCAATCACAGTCGCCGGTGCAGATTACTGTATTGCTAATGTTGTTGGCTCAGTCTTTATGATAAACTGTTGGACTTTTTTCCTCATTTGTAAAGTCAGTGAATAAAAGGATCTGCCAAATTATTAAAAGTTACAAGAGACCTCAACAAAAGCACAAGTGTCTTAGTAGTTAAAGATTTGAAACTGAAAATTTGTTGGTTCAATCACTATTAACTATCCAGTAATAATAATAATATTATATTAGAATATATATAAGAATAATGTTATAAATACAAATTCATATACATACAAATACATAATTAGTATTATTACTTTTAATATTAAATATTAATATATGTATACAGTATAAATGTATAACTTAATATCATTTATAATTATTATAAGAATATAATTTAAAAAATGTAATTATCAATATTAGTATTTTATAAATAATATAATTATAATAATGTTTTATAGATCCAAAACAATGCAATATTCATACATACAGATAAAAACTGAACTAAATTAGTTCTTAAAGATCGTTTTGATGTTGATTAATATTGTTTAATCCGTTCACTCTGCCATCTGCTGGACAAAACAACATCAGTATCCAAAAAGTTACATATGAATGTGTCCAAAAAGTCCTGATTTTTGAGCATTTCAATTGAGAATTGAGTAGAAACATTAATATTCACTAGTAAATTCCATGACTTTTAAGATTTAAAAGACTAATGTTTCCATGTCCATGACTCTGGGAATCCTGTTTAGACAAAAGAGGAGAGCAAAAAATAGTTTTTTGATTTCACAACCAATAAAATTTATTCAATTATATATTACAAATATGTACATCCTCATGTAACAAGTAAATATTAAAATAGACATTTTTAGAACCATCGTTCAAAAGGCATTACGTTGTAAAAAATAGGTCTTGTTGTGATCTCACATTAAAACTGTAAAAGGGTTTTTTTTTTCTATTGAGAAACCACAACACACTTTTTCTTTTTTTTCTTTTTTAAATGTGCGCAAGACACAAGGGACAACACGCAAGAAGTGGATGTTACTAACAGACACAACGATGGCAGAAAAGAACCAGGACCACTTCAGTAAACCTCACCACGGTACAACTTTTCAGAAAGGGACGAACCTGCGAAAGCATGCACATTATAGAAATCACAAGTCAAAAAACATCGGCTTTGATGAATGTCAAAGGGATAAAAGAAGAATAAAAAAAACAAAAACAAAACAAAAAGAATTTCAAAACATGCTTAAAGAGCGAACATCAATAACAACAACAACACCAACAAAGAACTTCAATGTAAAAACAACTTTGGTCCATTAAACATTAGACAAAACAAAGTTTACAATCAAAATATTTATTACTTAAACTTTTTCCGTCCTCTGTTTTCTTTCATTTTTTACAAGTTAAAAACAATAATTACATGGCTATTTACAAATGCACAATCAGTATGTATAAAATAAGTTAAAAAAATGAGGAGCACAATCTATACATAATCTATGAACACTCACTGTAGAAACATGTTGGATTGAGATCTCTTTCTTAGCGGAGGAGAAAAACCTCTCGCACGCTTTCCGATGGTGGTCTTTAGCCTCCGGAGGCTGGTTTTTCCGATGCTCCTCTGTCGACCCGTGGCCTACCGTTCTGGATGGTGGACCTCAGGCTTAAGTGCGTTTTAGATTAGGCCTGCAGTCTATCGGAGCCAATCTGGCGCCCATATGATGAAGTGCGTTTGGACCGGAACCAGAACTAGAACAGCGAACACAGACTGAACCAGTGATGACAGCTAGCCTGGAAGTGCAGCGCTCGTTTGTGTTTTTCTTTTTTTTTTTACTTTTTATTAGAAAGCGTCCGGTCAACGACATGTGCACCGTGACACACAAACACACAACATACATGCGCACGCACACCTCCAAGTCAAGTGCTTCGTGTTTTCGTCCTACGCTCGCGTCTTGACATCACTCGTCGTGGCCCGACAGCTACTAAATCGTCGTCTCTGTATCTCATCGGCGGGTCATATCGGCGTCAGGTCGAAGTCGTCGTTGACCTCTACGAGGGGGGTGTAGAATTCGGGAATCTCGAAGATGCTGGTAGACTTGTAAGTGGCGGGATCCAATTCCTGCAGCTTCAGCTGCCACTCCAGACGCTGAACGGCGTTTAACGCTGCTGCTTCGTGCTGCTGACGCATCAAGAGACACGTCTGCAGAAAAACAGAGATTCAAGTCAGTCATATAGGTACTGAAGTTCACTTATGTATGCATTTTACTGCATTAGACAGCAAAATATCAGAGCGGCATGTGAGCTGATAATATTGCAGTAGCTATTTTTATTTCAAATAAATTCAAATTTATTTGAGATTTCATTATCTGACTAGGGTTCTGCAGGTCTTTAAAGTCTTAATTTAGCCTTCCAGAAAAAGAAAGTCTTAAATTGCGTCTTAAAGTGTTAAATCTTAAAAAGGTGATGGCATTAAATGTGGTATGCATTGCAAAATACTCCTACTCCTACTACTACTACTAATAATAATAATAAGGAAATAAATAATTAAATAATTACAATCTTACTCAGTATTTTTTGTTTTGCTTTCCAATACAAATATCTAAACATCCTTAAATGAAGATACATTTACTTGAGATGCATATTGAACATATGAAAAATAAGTAAAAATTAAGTGAGTTTATGCTTAAAACAAGAACAGATCTCTGTCAGTGGTATATGAAAACTTGTTTTCCCTTGAAGTTGTTTTTTATTTGTTCTTACTTTAATCATAGACTCACTGCTTTTTATCAGTTTCTAAGAAAACAGGACTTCTTATTTTGTCATTTTGCTTATCAAGTAAATGCATCTTTAAGAAATGTTAGACTTTCGAACTAGAAAACAAGACCAAAAAATTGACACTTTTTGCAATGTGATCAGAAAGTACAGTAAAACGTATTTCCATATTCTAGTGGTTAGTAGCAGAGCTAGTTAAACCTTAAACTATTTTTTATTTATTGTTTTTGAAAAATAAATTAAAAAGTAATAGAGGTCTGTTGGACGTTGTATTTTGAAACTTTGAAGTGTTGCTAATATAAGATATTTACATTTAGAGACATGTAGAGAACATATTGACCATATTCCATTAAATATTTTGCTTAAATTTTCTTTACTTGGTCTTAAAAAGGACATAATTTTACCTTCATTAAAATAGCAGAAACTCTAATCTTGTTGCTATAATTTCCTGTATTTTTAAGTGTGGCTAATGTGTCCAAATACTTTTTGGGGCCGCTTTACCATGACATTTCTACACATGCTAGTTGTTTGTTGCATTTCATTGAATATTTCTGATTGCTTTTGTACCTTCAACTTGTCAAACTTGTCATCTACATCCTGAAGCCAAGACATAAACTGCCTCGCATTGAACCGATCTCTAACAGAGGTCTTCCCATCGTCACCCTGAAATGTACAAAAAAAAAATAGTAAAGATGACCCATATGTTGCAAAACCATTTTTCTGAGGTATTAAAAGAACATTCCAGATTCAAAACAAGTTAAGCTCCATTGATGTGATGTTGATTGCAGAAAATAACTTAGATTCATCACTCTGGTTGAGAGATCACTGTTAAAGTAATAGAGCCTTTCAAATTAAATTTGTTGTACACTTACATACATCAAGTGAAAGTTACAGTGTTTACTCAAGTTTGAAAATACTCTTGTTTTAATTTAAAATAATGTCCTAATAATGTGGCCACTTACCTGGACGTCCTGGGGCATGTTGTATACTTCGGCATCCAATAGGACTGTGCAGGCACTGAATGGAAGCGTCTGATTGGCTAGTGTTCTTGCAGCACGGTAATGAACTCTCAAAACCTCCTGCTCATTGGATACAATCAGCTTTTCCTGGAAGAACAAATGCCTCAGTCATTTCAAGTCATTTTAATTGCAACCAAAAAGCAGCAAGTTGAAGCTAAAAAAATAACCTAAAAAAATGTTTCTGCATATGATCCTAGATGCTTTCAAACATAATTATATAATTAAGCAGGCTCAAAAAGTTTCTTTCATAACATTTAAGACACTTTCAATATATTTACATAACAACATAATACATAATTTATGTTTGTGTTTAGTAACTAGATATCTGTAAAAGAGCTTATCAAACCTAAATATTATGAACAATACATCTAATAACATTTTATATGTAAAATAATAATCATTATAATAATCTTTTTAATTTTTAATATTTTATCGTTACATTTAACTTTTATAATATTTATCTTTTTAATTTTTAATATTTTATCATTACATTTAACTTTTAATTTTACATTTTTATTTATTTATTTGTATTATTTATTTACACATTTTCTCACAAATCCCCTGAAGTTCCATCATGAACCCCTAGGGGTCTGTGGCTAGTTTGGGAAACCCTGATCTAGGGATTGATGTTCAATAAATATAATCTCGGTTTCCATTTACCCTTTCGATGCTGTGCTGCAGTCTTAGCTTCATCCGCATCACCTCTTGCTGTTTGAACATCTCCTTCAGTGGTTCAGGTAGTGAGGGAGGTGGCGTTATCTACAAAAGCAAACAAATTGGCAAGCTTTTAGCATTTTTTTCCCCCTTAGATATCAGCAAGAATGAGTTGCAATCATTACTTTCACAGAATGGAAGAATACCGTTGGGATGCAGAGCTTGCTGAGAGGGTTTCCATCCAGCAGATAGGACCCATTGAATGTCACATATTCATCGTAGTACTGAGGCGCTT